AATCAGGCTGTGCAACTGTTGTATGTCATATCCAACTAAATCTAGATGATTTGGAGCTCAAAGGAGATTAAACTGTATTTTATTTATACTCTGCTGTTCAAATATTTGGGGTTTGTAAGATTTTTTAATGTTTTTAAAAGAAGCCTCTTATGCTCACCATGGCTGCATTTATTTAAACAAAAATAGAGTAAAACAGTAATAGTGTAAGATATTACAATTTAAAATAAGTTTTCTATTTTACAATATTTTAAAATAATTTCATTAGTAATATATTCCTGTGATGGCAATTTTCAGAAGCCATTCCAAGAAATATTTGCTTTCTTGCTGCTTAACATTGTTGTGAATACTGTAATACTTTTTTTAGAATACTTTTTTAAAGAACAGAATTTAATTGAATAGAAATCTTTTGTTATATTATAAATGTCTTTACTGTCACCTTTGATCAATTTAATGCATCCTTGCAGAATAAAAGTATAACTCAGCAGGCAAGAAAAAGTGTTTTTACTCGACATAAGGGTGGCCCTCCTCATGATGGATCATAAGACCATCCAAATACAATTTTATTACAGAAACTTTCCTATTTTTGGACACGTTTGTTTGTAAATACATCAGTCAAGGGTATTTTTACAATGGCATTGAAAAGTTTAAATTTTTGGTGTGATGTAATGCTTCATCCACACAAACAGGTGTCAGTATAAAGTACAAGACCATCGGTGTATGTAAATGGTCCAGTAGAACATAAGCAAGAAATCACTTACTGCTTGCGTTTGATCTCAAATCAATGTGAAAATATAATAAAATCTGACAAAAAAAAAAAAAGACCATTTGGTAGACAAAATCATTTTCAGTGCTTACTTTGAAATTCTCCTCTGTGAGTCCCTCTTCCGTCTTGGCATCTCGAATCATAGCTGCCACATATCGTTTTACTAAGTTTCTCAAGACTTCCTGCATTTAGGGAAACATACAGTTGAGGTGAAACAAATCAATACAATATAGAGAAAATGCAGAGAACTAATATTCTTGGTGATAAGCTACCTGGTATTGGTGGTTGAGTCTCACGTTTTTAGCAGCTCTTCTCTGAAAAGACAAACAGAAGGACATCTGTAATCTAATAATATGTCTGTCCCCTACCATACTAAAGTATCTTCTCCAAGACAACAAAGCATGCTGGACATCTTATGACACATATTTATAATGAAATTCCCTTTGCTCCATTACATAATATTAACATTTTCAATAAAATGTAATTCATCTGTCATGTCATGATTAGTTATTTAAACCAAATTCTATTTAAGAGCCAAAAAAAGGAAGAAGAAGTAGAAGTAGAAAATAATTTATTTTTTAAAGAGTCTTACCCCTAATGTCCCAAATGTCTCAGTCCTCTTTGACCTCCTCTTGAACACATGCACCTTAATCCATGTAATCAGGTAACATATGGATTTGGGACTGGGGATAATGTTGAAGGGAGGTGGCAAGGTGCCTCCTTCCTCAAAATAACTCATCCATAATTTAGTTCTGGCAAATTTCCACTCAATATCAGCATGGTCCTTCAGAAAAGCCAGAACACACTATATGTGAAAGGCAGGTCATTTCTGGGAAAATTACACTAATGCTTTCATACCAAAGTGACTTACAAGGTACAGCACATTGTACCGTATTTTCCGGAATGTATATCATGTGGTGACTTGTATTACAAAGTGACTTACATAATGCAATTAAGGTCAAGCATGCAAAACGTGCAAAACACAAAATGTACATGATCTCAATTTATTTGTAGCCCATTTCCCATTAGGTGGTAGTTTCAGTTTTGCTTTAAGTTTGCCATTTATAGTTAATGTTGTTTATAATGAATGACACTATAATTTCTGTTTGTTTAATACTTATATTTTTCATTCCTTTCTGTTATGAATAGCATTAATAGTCATGTGCAACTTGTTTTTTCCCCAGAAAATACGGTATCTGCAAAAAGCAACAATTACACTCTTAAAAATAAAGGTCCTTCAAAAGGTTCTTCAAGCGATGCCATAGAAGAACCATTTTTGGTTCCACAAAGAACCATTCAGTCAAAGGTTCTTTAAAGAACCATCTCTTTCTTTCCTTTTTATAATCTGAAGAACCTTCTTTCGCCACGAAGACCCTGTTGTGAAACAGAAAGTTTCTTCAGATGTTAAAGGTTCTTTATGGAACCATTTAGACAAAAAGGTTCTTCTATGGCATCGTGAAGCACCTTTATTTTTAAGAGTGTACTGGAGTAGGACGTCATGAAAATATACCTACAAGTGCTCAGGTCAGACCTCAAAATAAACTTACGGCAATGTGCTGATAGGAATTGTTCATCATGGCAATGAGCATATTGAGGAGGACCACCAAGGAGATGATGTTATAGGTACCAAACATGGTGGCACCCACAAATTCGGTGAACTTGTGGTCAGCTTGGACATTGGTCACATACAAATTGATCAACCCAAAAATGGACCAAAACAAAGACTGCAAGGTCTCAAATAGCCTACAAACAGTGTACAAGCAAGATTAGAATGGGTAGTTCCAACTTATACACAACTTTTTCACAATGTTTTCATTTTGATATAGGAGTTAAAATTACTTTTTAAGAGTAAGCTGATTTATTGACAATGACAATACATAAATTAAGCATTGAGATATGAAGCATTAGATATTAGACTTTTTCCCCCCAAACTTACGTTGAGAAAGCATTGTTCTGACGTTCACAGCGGATGCCTTTGCAGTTCATGCCATCACTAGTCTCGTAGTAGAAGTAAAGCTGATTGAGTCCATTAGCAAAGGAAAGCAACACCAGGCAGTAGATGAAGAGGAACTTTAGGATGTCCAGAAGCATCCGTCCTAATGATATCTGCAAAGGACCTAGGTGAGAATTGGCCGTGAAGAGCGAGATGAGGCGTAGAGAGCTGAAGATGTTGGCGATGGCAAACACTGCTTCAGCCACTAGTGTGGGGTGCCACATTTCCCAGGTTTCCCTGGGTTTGCAACCACTGTACTGTTAGGAAAGACGAAAGTAACAGTTAGTAACTCTTGATCCATTCCGGATTCCCACCAGTGACTGTTGTGATGTAATGTACCTTAACATATGCAACAATCTTCAGTGAGATGGTTGCAAGATACAAGGAATTCATCACAAAGTCCATGAGATTCCACCAGTCATGGATGTAATCCTGAAATCCACCATCCCACATCTGCTTGATCTCCGTCCATATGAATCCTGCGAGGGCGGCCAAGAAATTTAGCTGGTTTATGTTCAAAGACCTTCTTGGTTCTCTGGTCCAAGATGAACCATGAAAATATTGCATGGAGAACATTACACACAAATAGCACAATTTAGGATCATTTTATGGAACCATATCGGTTCTGTAGGGATGTGACACTACCTAGAACCCAGGGTAGGATCATCCACTCCACAGTGGTGGGCTTTGGACCTTGGCGATCAGGATTGTTAGAGACTATGTGATGCGAGGCCAGCAGTAGGAGGAAGAGGAAGGTCAGGTAAGAAGCGGTGTGGCAAATAAACTTGATGAAAGGCTTGCGGATGAAGAGGCCATAGCGGCTCTTGGGTGCCACCAGGTAACAGAGGGAGAGCAGGGGGAACATGAGGCTGATGAAGACACAGGTGATGAACTTGCCAGCCCAGTGACGTCTCCTCCAGCCAGGAAATTCATCATACCAGCGTGAGGCCAACAGCTGCTGGCAATTTGGCTGTGCTACAAACTGAGAGAGAAAAGAATAGAAGAGAATACAGGGAAATCACATGTTACTAAGCAAGTATGAACAGGTGGTCTGGGAAGCAAGCTGCCAACTCTGTAATTTTGCTTTTTTTCCCCATCATTTTTGGTCAGATTTCCCAGAATATCCATTTTTACCATTTGCAAGACTTACGTATATCTGTGTACATATATTATATTGCATAGTTTGTGTATGACATGGGACCACTAACTTACAGAAATATTATTACGACATGTATTCCACTCTAACTGAGCTATAAACTGTCAGTAAAATTAAGTTTCAGCACAAGCAAACTATGCATCAGTGTTTTACGCAGGTTCCCCAAAGTCAGATTCCAAGATACCGTGTGAAGTGAGCATTAGTGTCTTATAAAGTCAGAATGATAAAGTGAACATGAACAGTGAGGCAGGAGGTCTGAGTTTTATTTAATTTATTCCCCATTAGACTGCTGAGCCTAGTTAACATGTTGCTTCATACTGCACGAGATTCAAACACTTGCACAAAGGTTTGTAATGTGATTTGACAACAATGTTGTAGTAGCCAAAACAGTTCAAAGGTGCAGTGACACCTATAAGTTGAAAAATCATAAAACATTAAGAATTTTGTAAAATACAATAACAAAAAAATGAAATGAAACTAGTAAAAAAATAATTTTAGTACTAGTCTTTGATACAGAATATACTGTAAAGGTTTTACATTTTATAAATTGCCTTCAATTAATCACAAAATGCCATAAAACCTGAAAATGCCACTAGATAACACTACCAATAATGCTATGGCTCTGAGATATTTTTTTTCTAGATATTTTTATAGCCCTGCAATATTCAGTGATACCAAGTTAACACACTAAAACATTCAGCACAAAAAAAATATTACATCTAAAAAAAACAACTAACGTCACAGAGTGAAAAAAGGACAAGGACAAACTGAACAAAATAGACATAAAAACTAAATTTCAATTTATTATAACCCTGTGTAACACGCTCTTTAACCGTAAACCACCTACTGGACAAAGTTGTAAATTAAGATTTTAATCTTTTAATCTAATCAAAAATTGAGATAAAAAAATTATAATTCTCGGAATCATGCATAATGCAATGTACATTTTTACTTATGTGCTTTGCCAAGCAAATGCTACAGTACTTGCAGCCGTATATTGACTCTTGTTCTTGATGCTTATTTTGTTCTTCTCCATCATCCTCTTCATCTTGTCTCCAGTGATTTGCCCAAAGCCATTAACGGAGCATCTAAAATGTCAAGCGGAAGTGGGAGGGCGCCTAACCAAATTACAAACAAATGCATTCTCATTACAGCAGAGCCAGGCGTTCTGGAGGCGATGAGGTCAAGTCTGAGACGATTTTAAGTGTTCTCCGTCAGGGATGATTTGCACGGTGCAATCTGTTCTACAGCTCAACTAAAGGACTCTCTGTCACAGGGCTGCTGTACAAGCGACAGCAGTACCTTAAAACACCTCAACAGGACAAATAAGGCCAAACAAAAAACAAAAAAAACATCAGGCGCAGTCTAGAGCATGTGCCTTTTTACTGCCGCACTGTACATAAACAAGCAAAAAGTGGGGGGTGGGGGGGGGACATGCCAGCTGACTTTATATAGTACCATGTTCATTTCTTCTGTCACATTTCTTACAAGGCTTTCAGAACGATATGTACAAAAGCTTCACATAACACAACACTTTTACTGAAATGTGAAAAGAACTTTAATACAAGTTCAAAATCGCAGCACCTCTATAAGTATATACAGTCACATATACAGTACAGTGCCCACATATTATAAACTATTTAAGCGCATAATTTGAAATGCTTTACCTCCAAAATAAATAAATAGTACAAGCATTCCTAATGGCAAATGTATTTTTCTTAACCATTCACAGCAAACAATATGCATCATGTTCTCTTCTCTTACAATGACTGATATCTTTTCATCTGAGCTAATACAGAAGAATGCTGCCTCTGATCTGATCTGTTCTCTGATATTATAGTGAACATCCACATGCACAGTTTAACTGGAGTCATTCAAGTAACATTTACAATAATAACATTAGTGCTGGTGTGACTGTCACTGCCATTTTCAACAATTGTGTGAAACAAATGCCATTTAATCGGAATTTAACCATGTCTAATATTATCACAGGTTGAGAAGAATATAACCAATGGATATTTAAGTAGTTCACATACAATAAGCAGAAAAGAAAATCATGCATGTATACTGAATTCATCTAAAAAAAAATTAAGGGCATAATGCCTTTGCAAACCCAAAAGAGGGCAAAAATAATTTCAGCAACATGGCTCCAGAATGTCACAACTGATTGCTGTGTAATTATAATTTCTTCCTTTATTATTTATTTATTTGTATTTTAGTCATTTTTGTTTCTTGTTCACACTGTATTTTAAAAAAGACTGAAATTAGGCTTCTGAATGCAGACTATTTTCTAACCAAATTTGAACAGACTAAATTCAAGAGGCAAAGTAATTAGTAGCTATGAACCCACACTACATGCTGAAAGTGGATATGACTCTTCACTCCTAAACTGCGATAAGTCATAACAGGTCAAACGGGCTCCTTTTTATGAGATCTACATGGCGCTGAGGCATGTGATAACCTTGTCAACTGTGAAGAAAATTACCCGACTCTTAGTTTGGGCTTGTAACACTTCAGTGCTTTTGAATTGATGCACAATGGAGGCTTGAGTTTCATCTGGCTCACCTCAGGTATTGCTAAGAGGACCTTCTTGTGCATACAATATACGTGGGAGTTAATTTGTTCTTAGCTTAGTCAATCTTAGGGGAGATAGAAATCACAATTTAGTAATTAGTTTATTAAAACCTTAAAAAGTATTTGACCCAAAAAATGTTTTAGCTTTGTGGCCTAAACTGTTTTTTTTTAGGTACGCATAAAAATATATGAATGCCACTGTATTGTTTCTAAAAAAATTTAACCAAACGGCATTTATTTTAAAGTCAAGTTACTAATATTTTATAGCACTTTATATAAATTAAAATTCTGTTGTAAAGATATTAGTGTCATTATTCATGAATAATGAATTATATCAATTCAAGAAATCATTATTATTAAAGAAAGATAAGTAAGCAAAATATCTGAAAAAATAAAAGTTATTAATAAATAAATTAAATAAATAAATAAATTATAAATGATCCTGAAGCCAGTTAGTTAAAAGCAGATGTAAACACAGTTTGGGTGATGGGTTTGTGTTTGCCACTTTGTTTAATATTTGTCATCTAATAAGTGTCCAAATATCTTTGCAATAACAGATCTGTACCTCTTTTTGGCGGTATTTGATGGCCAACTTCAGTCGAGCCAGCTCATTGTTGGCCTCATCCTGCAGCAGGTTGACATCATCGCTGAAATTGAGGATCAACTCCAGTTCGCGTGAGGACCGGGTTTGATCCAAGAGATCCTTCGCAAAGCGTTTGCATTGATGGGAGAGCTCCTCGTATTCAGCCTTGAACTCATTTTCAACTTTACTGAGCTCCTGGAGCTCCCAACTGAGCTGGAAGGCGGTGAGGAAAGGATCCTCGCTGGACAGGGCGATGAGAGAGGGGCTGGCCAGGGCCTTGTAGATGTTCAGTCGGGAGCGTGAGTGCCGCAGACTGTCCACGTCTGAACTGGAGACGCACTCCACGCAGTTACAGCGCACCTCGTGAGGCTGGGGGACCGACACACCTTTCTGCACCAGCATCTTGATGATCTCGTAGTTGTTGGTGTTGGCAGCCAGGATGATGGGAGTGATGTCAGGGGTGAAGTCTGAGAACTGTTTATCAAGCAGGATGGGTGGCACCTGGTTAGAAAATAGAAAAGATGGCTTAAATTCATCTGATGACACACATATACGCCATATTTATTATTTTTCACTATACAATGGCCCCAAAAACAAACTGACACTTTTAGAAAATTAATATAAATCTGAACACGAATATTCTTGTATTACAACTGAACAAACCAAATAAATTATAAAATTAAATGTTATAATTTTTATAATAAATGCCACATTTTGTTTGATATTTTGTCATATAATACATTTGTGCCTTAATTATGTGTCCAATTACTATACAGTAAAAAATTATTTAAAAGGATTTAACAAGAAAAATACCATTTCATGTTTAATTCAATGTGTTACTTGCTGTTTTTATTTATTTATTTATTTTTTAATTTACTAACAATTTCTGAGTAAAAATTTTTCTACACCCATTTCTTTTGTGTATTTGGGTCCACTGTATGTTCTTGATAATAATAATAATAATAATAATAATAATAATAATAATAATAATAAAAATAAATGTATTATTTCATTTGAAACAATTTTCACTCAGAAATTGCTACTAAATTGAATAAATAAGTGCAACATTTTTTTATGTAAAGTCGGCAACACCAAAGCTCCAAAAGTATCAAAAAATTAATTAAAAAAAAAACTGTTGCATAGCATATGTGACGAGCATGCAGGCTCTTCATCAGACAAATGAACAACACTGATATCCCAATCTTTATAGGCCTCCCTCCAGGTGATCAAAGGTCACATGACCGTACCATATTATCATGATAATAATAATTCCAAAACAATAACATATCCAAAGCTCCAAAAGTATCAAAAAATTAATTTAAAAAAAAACTGTTGCATAGCATATGTGACGAGCATGCAGGCTCTTCATCAGACCAATGAACAACACTGATATCCCAATCTTTATAGGCCTCCCTCCAGGTGATCAAAGGTCACATGACCGTACCATATTATCATGATAATAATAATACCAAAACAATAACATATCAACCAAGGAGAAAAACATAGAAACAAAAATAAGAAATCAAATAAATCAAAAACATATAAAGCTATGCAAAATACACGAATATAATTATCAATATATTGTTTAATAACATTAATTGATGCCTGCCTATGTACATAAATACAAATCAATAACCACCAAGCATTTATTATATGTAAATAAATATATTGTGTTTAAAGAAATGGACAAATATCAAAGTCCTCATTTAATCCTCTAGGGGACAACGTGTCTAGTGTATAAATCCAAAAGGCTTCGCGCTGTAAAAGCAATTTATTGATATCACCTCCGCGACGCGGACACTTCACTACTTCAATACCTATGTACCGAAGAGTGGAAACTGAGTATCTTGAATCTGCAAAGTGCTGTGCTACCGGATAAATAAGTGCAAAGAAACAGCAAATAACACACTGAATAATCTTTGTTTTATTTATCCTAATACATCAATAATATTTATACATCAAATATCTTTGTTTTATTTATTAATTTTTACAGTGTACTGAAATACTGCAATATTTCTTACTATGACATTGTTTTATGGAATAAAATATTTGTAAAATTAAAAAAAAATTGAAATATGCATAATATTGGATAAGTATTCAGGGCCTGTTTTGACGAGCATTTAGTGCTGAAAAACAATTGGCATCTCCCCGTGAATTGCTGAATAACCGCACTTACTGGATACAAACCCCACAATTAAGGCCTCGTTATTATTCAGATCTCAAATGTGAAGGACAGCTATGACAACGAAAACGAGAATATTCTAAACGAGAGAGGAACACAAATGCATAAATTAGGAAGAAGGATATAAAACAGTAGGAGTGCCCACTGCTGGTTAAATTATGATGAAACGGAAGCTACATCAAATGACCCAGACATTGGCAGGGAAAAAAGATCTTTCCTGAAAAACCTCTGAGCACATAAGAAAAAAACACTTGGAAGAGAGGCTACAGAGAGGCCTGTGATCACTTTGAAGTAGCTACAGAGCTTTTTCTGTTGCGGCTCCTGCACTCTGGAATGTATTACCATTATCTATAAAATCCTCGACAAGAATGGACATTTTTAAAAAGGACTTGAAGACCTACTTATTTTATCAAGCTTTCGGCGTTTGATTAGGTCGGAGAATTGTGAGGGATTGGCTGTATGTTTTTTCTTGATCATATTATCATGATAATAATAATTCCAAAACAATAACATATCAACCAAGGAGAAAAACATAGAAACAAAAATAAGAAATCAAATAAATCAAAAACATATAAAGCTATGCAAAATACACGAATATAATTATCAATATATTGTTTAATAACATTAATTGATGCCTGCCTATGTACATAAATACAAATCAATAACCACCAAGCATTTATTATATGTAAATAAATATATTGTGTTTAAAGAAATGGACAAATATCAAAGTCCTCATTTAATCCTCTAGGGGACAACGTGTCTAGTGTATAAATCCAAAAGGCTTCGCGCTGTAAAAGCAATTTATTGATATCACCTCCGCGACGCGGACACTTCACTACTTCAATACCTATGTACCGAAGAGTGGAAACTGAGTATCTTGAATCTGCAAAGTGCTGTGCTACCGGATAAATAAGTGCAAAGAAACAGCAAATAACACACTGAATAATCTTTGTTTTATTTATCCTAATACATCAATAATATTTATACATCAAATATCTTTGTTTTATTTATTAATTTTTACAGTGTACTGAAATACTGCAATATTTCTTACTATGACATTGTTTTATGGAATAAAATATTTGTAAAATTAAAAAAAAATTGAAATATGCATAATATTGGATAAGTATTCAGGGCCTGTTTTAACGAGCATTTAGTGCTGAAAAACAATTGGCATCTCCCCGTGAATTGCTGAATAACCGCACTTACTGGATACAAACCCCACAATTAAGGCCTCGTTATTATTCAGATCTCAAATGTGAAGGACAGCTATGACAACGAAAACGAGAATATTCTAAACGAGAGAGGAACACAAATGCATAAATTAGGAAGAAGGATATAAAACAGTAGGAGTGCCCACTGCTGGTTAAATTATGATGAAACGGAAGCTACATCAAATGACCCAGACATTGGCAGGGAAAAAAGATCTTTCCTGAAAAACCTCTGAGCACATAAGAAAAAAACACTTGGAAGAGAGGCTACAGAGAGGCCTGTGATCACTTTGAAGTAGCTACAGAGCTTTTTCTGTTGCGGCTCCTGCACTCTGGAATGTATTACCATTATCTATAAAATCCTCGACAAGAATGGACATTTTTAAAAAGGACTTGAAGACCTACTTATTTTATCAAGCTTTCGGCGTTTGATTAGGTCGGAGAATTGTGAGGGATTGGCTGTATGTTTTTTCTTGATGTTATGTCTCATTGTTATTTTATGTTTGCATGAATTTTAGTATTATTTATGGACAACACTTTAGTCCATTTTAATGGTTTTGAAAGTGCTTTATAAATAAAGGTTGAGTTGAGCTGAGTTGAGCAGCAGAGAAGAACCGTGTGAAATTCTGTCTGGAGTTTGGCAAGGTTTTCGCTTGAAAAGCATTATAGTGACCCAGTTACAATGGGAAAAGTGGTCATATAAGACAAATAAACAACAATACATCCAATCAATTACACTGGGGGAAACACAATGCTGAAGCACTGGTTTTCATCAGCAAAGATGGCACACCTTATTAAAATAGAAGGAAGAATGGCTGGCACAATATTGCAGGAAATACAGTAACCTGCTTCAGTCTGAAGTTTGGGAGGAAGTTAATCTAAAGTACAATGTTTTGGACAAGGGCAGGGATAAATTAACATCAGGCAACATAAGAACAAGATAGTGAATGTCCTAAAAGGCTACGGTTGAAGCACTAATCCATAATCCTAATCCAACCATGAAGTACATGCGGTACTCGAATCGTGGCACACAAGTATTATCCATTATCCTAAGAAACTAGAGCAAATCTGCCAAAAATCTGGCCAAAATCATATGTGAAAATAAGTATGGATATTAAAAGACAATTCTTGCCTAAACATATTAAAATAACCTATAAAATAATTAACCCCTATAACTTTCTTAGTCTGGACAAATAATGACTATTCTTAAATGAAGTGGACTATCCCTTGTAAATGTTAAATCTGGAACTTGAAGCATAACCAGCTTAGAACTGCTGTTTTAAAAATAGTGATTGTGGATGATATCTAATCCTTTACTGGTAAGTTTAAAAGCAGCTTAAACTAGAGAGTCATAAAATATACACTGCTACATGAAGACTGGTTTCTGTGATCACACCACATTTGGGGGAGATGGATAAAAAAAAAACTGAGACACAGAAAGAAAGAACGTGAAAAAAGAAAACAACCATGCACAAAAAAAGTGATTACACGTGATAAAGAATAACGAGTGAGCAATGAGTGAAGTGAGAGAAAATGAGTTGAGAGTTTATGAATTAAAGCCACATTGAGAAGTGAAGGTGTGATTTGAAGGTAGGGGGTGATTAGCACATTTCGACTGATATCTTCATCCTTTTCACAAGAGCTCCAAGCCCACGGTGGCAGCGGCAATAGCTTGACTATTTGAGGAAGATAATGAAGGCTCCAGTTGGGGAGACATGTTCAGGCTGGCAGCCATACTGATTATCTACTGCTGCAATACGACGCTTTGAAGCTCATCCTTAACCACAATAGACCAGAGAGGTGAAGGGAAAAGTATTGGAAAAAGTTGAAGGCTTGACTCGAAATGTCAGTAAGATGACAGTTCAAGTCAGCTTTGTGTTTAATAAGTGAAAAGAAGCCTTTCTCATGATTCATTAAGCACATCTCCAACAAAATTGAGGGACAGCTTTTTTTTTTCAATCTGAGACCACCATGTAATTTTACTGACTCCTGATCTGAGCAATGTAACTTACTCCCAAATTGAAAATAATTAAAAAAATAATAATAACAGTTAAAAGTGTAATTTTTTTACATGCACATCCAAGACGTAGATGAGTGGGTTTCTTCATCTGAACAATGTGAATGGGTGCCATCAGAATAAGAGTTCAAATAGCTGTTAAAAACATCATAATACACAAGTGCATATCTGCATGTTTGTAAGAAATAAGTCCATCAATAAGATGTTTTAACTTTAAACCATCGCTTATGGTCAAATTATAAGTTCATAATCCATAATAACACTTCCTCCAGTAAACAAAAGTCCATCTCCTGTTGTCCTCTCATTTAGAACTATTTTGGACTGTTCATATTTCTCTCCTGATTCAGACAAGACAACGTTTTTTACTGGAGAAAGCAATATTACGGAATAGAGGACTCGTCTGGACTTAAAGACACTGTAACGATGAATTTGTTTATTACAAGCACAGTTTTTCACTTAAGATGTTAACTGATGGACTGAAGTCATATGGTGGATTATTGTCATGTTTTATCAGCTGTTTGAACTCTCATTCTGACGGCACCCATTAACTGCAAAGGATCCACTGGTGAGCAAGTGATGTAATGCTACATTTTTCCAAATCTGTTCAGATGAAGAAACAAACTCATATACATATTGGATGGCCTGAGGGTAAGTACATTTTCAGCTAATTTTTATTTTTGGATGAACTATTCCTTTAAGAAAAGAACAAAAGAGAACAAAATCATTTTTGCCTACATAACAGCAGCTAACTTATTATTATTTGTTTTTTTTCCCCCAGAAATTACCAGTTCTGTAAAGAACTTGTTAAAGTGATAAAAATCACAAGACATGAAGAGAGCCATAATTTAGAAAATCAAAGCAAACAACCTGTTCCTGTGTACTCATTCGCCCCCTTGTTGTCTACAGACATGCTGATTTAGTTATTTGCATATCAAAAAGTTTTATAAATGTGACATTAATAGACATAGACAGGAAGAGACACAGAGACAGAGGAAAAGAAAAAGCGCTCAGGGATTGAGGAAGGAAAGATCAGATGCGCAGCTACTCTGGTTTGTAAATGGTGCATCCATCCCATAATTTTGTTCTGAATCAGTGCTGCAGCATCCAGTCTATTCTTAGCCATTAAAGGAAAATGAAATTAAAGTTATAAGGAGTGGACAGAAGAGTAAGACCCATGTTAAGTCACTTAGTGAGGGAGCAAAGATTGCTCCATTGAAAAGTAAACACCATTAGAACAATGGTAATTATTCATTCACATGCTTGAGTGTCTGAACATAGAGCTTTTTATAGCAGGCAGTTTTCTCCTCTGAGAAGAAGCAGGCATACAAGTGCACTTTTTTCCTGAAGTGTTCTTGTGTTGACAACTGAGGACTTGATTCCTTTCAGCCCTAAAAGCACTCATATCTGCAATATCAGGTTGTTTACATGAGAAGTTGATAAGAGATCTTTTGAAGGTTTTGTGTCCAGGGAGACTCAATGAAATATCTGGATAATAAAGCAAATATCAATATTCAGGTCTGCGCTACAAGTTCTGTTTTGGGGGTGCCATTTCAGGACTAAAAATTATGCAGCTCTGTTCTGAGTCACAGATAGCAGGTAAAAACAATCCAAAATGCATATAATAAAATGCAAATATTCATATAATTAAGCATAGTTAGGACGGCAAAATAAATAAGCTTTATGACCTTTAGCAGTTGCCACAAATTCTTCTATCACTTGGCATCTGCTTAATTTGGCAATTAATTGTTTTGTGCAATTAATTATTGGCAGCTCAGAGCAAGAAACCATCAAAATTCAAAGATATATATAGAAACTAAAATTGTTGATGTGTTTTTGTATTCATGTTAAGAATTTAGCATATTGTTTTTATGTTATTAATACATTATTCAATGTTTTTATGAATGACTGGCTTAAACCAACCTGGTTTTCACTAGCCAGGCTGGTCCAGTTTGATGATTTGAGGACCTTGGGTACATAAGTTAATCAGCTGGTCAGGGTGGGAGACCAGTCAAACAATTAGCTAAACCAACTGAACAGTGAACACCAGCAAGAGACCAGCTAAAACAGTAAACCACCTAAAACTTCAAAAGCAGAACGGTTTTCAGTTCTTAATGGAATATTGTTATTGTTTTATAGAATATTGACAGTGTGTTGCTGGCTAGTTTGAGACAGAAAAGAGATCGAGCTAACTATAGCAGACAGTTCTTCAAACAAACCTGTTTCTCTCCACTGGGCTTCTTGTGGTTCAGCAGGAGCTCCACGGCTCCCACTACCTCTTTACGGATGGCGTGGAGCAGAGCATCCCCGACATACACGTTGAAGCCGAGGAGCAGCTCAATGATCTCCAAGTTCTCATTCTCAATGGCGATGAGCAGCGCCGTGCGCCCTAGAGGATCAATACAATTGATGTTGATCTTGAAGTAGATCTCCGCCTCTTCCAGCGCTAGTTTCACGCTGGCGTAATCGCCCTTCTCCACGGCGCTGAGGTAGGACTTCTCCTGCACCGAGAGCTCCGACTCGGCGCGCACTATCCGCAGCGGAATGCGGTCCCGGTACGAGGAGTTGTCCGTTCTGCGGTAGTACAGCTGCGACATTGTGGCTTAATCCATCACAAAACAGCTGGAGAGCGAGGAGTAAGAGCAACCTAAAGACAAGCACATCTGTATACACTTGGGAATTGACAGACGGCTTTATAATAACAGTCTACAGAGCAGAAGCTGGTCTAAGGTGGCAGGTGCAAGGTAGTAGACCACACAGAACCAGCAATAAAACAGCTAGCAGGTAGTCATACAAGCGGTTAGGTTTTGGAACAATGGCTGTATGCACAGCTAAACAAGTTGGAACAACTAATGACCAGCTGGACTTTACAATAATGGGTCATGCAAAGGGCTGGGCACAGCAGAACAGATCAGATTTACATGAAAAAAAAGAAAAACTTCCAATTATCAAAGTAAAACCATTATTAGTCCCTGGTGGTGCGTAATGAAGCAAGCGAAACTGCCACCAAAAAAAAAATGAAATAGAAATACAAAGCCTTTCAAATTACGCATCTTTACGCATGATATCACCTTCTCAGCTCATGTTTTTAGCGACTAAAAATCAAACTTATAATACAAAATATATCAAAATAAAATATCAGTGCTTAGCTATTTGAATTAAAGCACGCAAACCTGCCAAAACACACTAATCTCCAAATTACGCATGCTAGGCAATGGCACCACTTAAACTTCGGTTTCATCATTAATAATCACGACTGAACTTATGAAAGAGCATATGAAGGATATGATGGTTGGATTAAAATCAACACAATTCGCATTGAACCCATTCGGTTAAATAAACAGCAAGCACAGTTTTAAGGCTTGGATAAGGATGCTGTATTGATTTACACAGCGCAGTGTACAAAAAACTCACCTTGCTGTCGTAACAACTTTGATTCTCACATTTATAACGCTGATGCAATCAACTTCACCGATTCATCACCGAAAATACTTTTGGAGCAGTATTCCTACGACCACATGAGGATTGCTGCGCATGGCGACTGTGTTGTGCTGCCACAGTCAGCACCGACGCGCCGCTGTAATCATGCTGGAATTGCAATGATCCATTACGCCCCAGTAGACGTCTGTCATTGACCACAGTGCATTGTATTAGCATTTCCTCTCGTCTGTTATTTCAGTTTAGCTGAGCCTCAGTGATGCTGAAAATGATTACCAAATTAATTACATAATGCACGTGCACCAGCACAGAATAACATTAATGCAATCTAACTTACAATCTGAATAAATAAATAAATACGTTGTCTTGTGTGTAGATCAATCAATCAAACTTTTATTGCAGACTCAAGGTCCAAAATTAAAAACAAAGACAAAAGGACAACATATACAACCCATCTACAACAAAAAATAAAGAGTTACAAAATACAGCAATACCAATGTCTCCACAGATTTGACTGATACCGTGTAGTACTAACCCTTATATATGATAGACCCACAATAATTTCATTTTTATAAGCATTAAGACGGCAGATAAATCTATACATAAAATTTCGTAACAGTGCTTTAAAAGTGATTACTCTTGCACTCACAAACATTTCACTTGCACTATGCCATCTAGGTCTCTTTAGTAAAATTATCATTGCATCATTATCAGCTACTTGCAGCTTCTGTAAACTTGATGTTCTATATGGTTGAACCACAAATGAGCAGTATAAAGTTTTGTACAAAAAGTGACACCTTCACCTCATCTGAACAGAAACTAAACTTACGTAAAAGTATATTTGCCTGCCCATACATCATGCAGCGTTGTCTTTTAATATCCTCATTGTCTGTCATGCATTCAGTGATAAAATTATTGCCCCATTTTACTCGCATCATCTGGTGGGCATACCAATACACCTGCAGGATTCTCACAATATTGTATTCTGACACCCCTCTTTGTCTCATGTAAAAAAAATAACTTTGCATGGTTAACCCGATCAAAAGCTTTAGATGCATCAATAAAACACATAAAGACTGATGAGTTTTTATCTCTATACTTATTTACTATTTCCTTTAATGCATAGATGCATAGATCAGTACCATGTTTAGCCTTAAATCAAAACTGGTTGTCTGTAGAATTAATAAACACATTTAACCTGTGCAGCAAGATTTTTTCCAACACTTTAGACAGGATACTAGCTAAAGCTATATGTCTATAATGATCTAAGTTACCTACCATCAAATGTTAAACATTATTAACACAATGGATCACTAAATTTTGAATGTTTTCACATACCATTCTTAAACATATGACATGATGAGGTTGTTTTTCAGCTCAACATATGGTCAAAGAACAGACACAACGTATGCTTATATATGATATTTATTATTATAATATTTATTAGTAGTAGTTCTTTCTCAAATTCTCTAAACTGTTAAGCTCTGTATTTGACTGTTAAATAAAAATATAATAAAGAAAAATGTGATATGCTATGCTAATATGACAAACTTTGTTAGTCCATTTTAAAGAGACAGTTCATTTAAATATAAAAAATTAACTTACTCTCATGTTGTTTCAATGTTGTATGACTCCTTCTGTAGAAGATGCTTTTTAAAATGTCAGTGTTTTTTTTTGTTGTTGCTCATACTGGTTTCAAATGGGTGAGTAAATGATGACGGAATTGTCATTTTTGGGTGGATTTCTACCTTCAATATATCATATAATCTATTAGTACTTGGAGATTGGTGATTCGCAAACAGGCTTATGTGGAAAGATTTTGATGTTTTAAAAAATCTTAAAATATAATAATAATAATAATAGTAGTAGTAGTAGTAATACGAGAAAATATGTGACAGAAGTAAATATGCATTTAGTGTTACTTTAATTATAATTTTACCTGATATTCAGAATAATTACAAAAGATACTGATGGGGCTGTGGAGGCTGGTAAAAACTGGTTATTAAAAACAAAAAAAAAGATTAAAGAAAGAATGACACAGGATGCTCACACCAATTTTATTAGGCCACTGTGGCCACATATACATTTGTAGTGGTTTGTTTCATGCATACAAACTGTACTAGTCTCCAATGACAACCCCCCACACACACAAAAAAAAGCAGAGTTGTTGTCTTCACCAAGAAAAACGGGCTAATATGAGTAATTTGTTCAAGAATCAATTCTGTATGTTTGATAATAATCACTAATTTCGTTTTGGATGGGCTGCTACACCGTCCTGCTAAATGTTTTTGATTCAGTAAAGAGAACCGACTCATGAGCATCGTTCGTTCAAGAATCGGAGAATTGCTTTGTGTGCATTTTTGTTTTTCTACTCTGCATGTTTTGCACTGTAGATTCAGTAGTGGTATTGCAGGTCAATACAGCAGTTTACCGTTTACTGTTATCTGCGTCCAAATATGTAGGCTACTTCCCTACTGTACGAAAAGCAATACGTCAATTTTGTCCGTATTCGAAATGTAAGGCCAGAGGACTGTGAGCCAGTCAGTTCTCTTCAAGAGTACTGTAGCAACAAAGTTTTACCTTGTAGTTACATACAAATTGTTTGATGGGTTGCTACACCGTCCCGCTAAATGTTTTTGATTCAGTAAAGAGAACCGACTCATGAGCATCGTTCGTTCAAGAATCGGAGAATTGCTTTGTGTGCATTTTTGTTTTTCTACTCTGCATGTTTTGCACTGTAGATTCAGTAGTGGTATTGCAGGTCAATACAGTAGTTTACCGTTTACTGTTATCTGCGTCCAAATATGTAGGCTACTTCCCTACTGTACGAAAAGCAATACGTCAATTTTGTCCGTATTCGAAATGTAAGGCCAGAGGACTGTGAGCCAGTCAGTTCTCTTCAAGAGTACTGTAGCAACAAAGTTTTACCTTGTAGTTACATACAAATTGTTTAACAACCCCATGTGCAAATTATTTTTCCAGTTTTTATAGTACGCCATGATGTAGGCTACAATCAACGGCGGGTCAAAGGACAATTGGAAAACATGGCGGATGTATACATTCTCAGTAGGCCTATTCATAGCCTAGGCTACTACACACCTCCGAAACGCGATTCAACAACAGCAAAGTAAGTCAAATGCAGTACGTACTAAGTTTCCTCCTGGTTAACTGACACGAAGTACTGAAAGGGTGCTTTTGTAGTTCTGTCAAAATTAATGCGTTAACGCATGCGATTAATTTTTTTTATTTTTTAGTTTAAACCCATTAAAAATATTTTTAACGCAATTACATTATATTTAGGGGTGGAGGGTTGGCCACCCCACTCACAACTGCTGCTTCTGTCTCATTTTTTTTCTTGACAATAATTGCATTTATTTAGACAAAAAGTAACAGTTACAGAAAAGTTACAGGTGATGGGTGCTTCAGTAGAACAACAGTGAACTGCTTTCAGATGAGATGTTGTCAGGCCATATGTCAGTAAAAAACTATTTTCCTGTCCTGTCAGCCAATATACTGTTCTTGTAGCACGTTCTCTTCAATTGCACAAATTATCATTATCATTAATAATATCATTTCATATTAAAGCGCAAAAGAAATGCAAAATATGATGCATGTCAGATTCGCATCATGTGCAGCAGCGGCAGCTCTTAAAATTAAAGCTGCCAAAATAACCTAATAATATCCCAGCTGCTGTGATGTCTGTAACTAATCAATATCTTTTGTAGCTTTAAATATTAATCTATATTTAATTTAGTGTTTGATAACTTTACTCAATTTCGGGTTATTTCCTACTTATTGAATGGCACAGGTAAATATGACATTTATTATAATGGGTTTATGTTGCAAAGATTGTTTTGAGTTCACTTAAAATGAAAGTTGTTATTTTTTAAAGTCCAATAAATGTTAAAGTTGATAGCTCTTAATTATATTGTAATGTTGAATAGCTAGTAATGGTTAAATATTAGAAGAAAAAAAATTTCATAGGGACATCCCTAGTATTGGTATTTCTGTCATGACAACTCTTGGAGGGATTGGCATGGTAATGTACATGACAATGTTAATGTATTTAGTCTTGGTGGAATAGATCTGCTACGCTGCTGCTGCTGCGGCAGAGCAAGTACCGAGACTTGCTACTGCCAATACATCCACAACATGCTGCTGTGAGCATGTAGGAAATACTGCTGCTGCACATGCACATATGAACAACCCCATAGCATACATGAATCACCTCGTAGCAGATCTATACAGGTGGAGCTGGGGAAGGTGGAGGGTTTCTTAAGCGCGCTGCGAACTGCTACAGCAAACAAAAGCCAGGTATTTGAATGCTGAGCAGCAAGCTCATTGGCTGCTGATACAGGAGAGAACCAATCAGCTGCGCCATGTAATATGATGTCATTATGCCAGATTGAGTTAGACCTATCAGATTGCGTCATCTAGAGTTTCATGCCAGAACTCTGTATCAGTGATACTTGCCTTCTATTAAACAAATATTAAAAATATATACTGTCTTTGTTTATTTTGAAGATTGAATGTAAAATTATTGCAATATAAAAGTATATTTAAAAACTTTGTTAGGTGTGAATAATTTCAGAAAAAAATGTGTGATTAATTAGATTTTTTATCTATTGACAGCACTAGTTTTTTACATTAATTTACACAGTTTAGGGATGTGTTCTAGGCTTTATGAACTACCTTGATGTGTGGCAAATAAATATTAGAATATTATATAAAGTTTGAGATAGCCTACATAAAGCAAAAAAGTTACAGACAAGTGTTTACACCTTCCCAGTCTCCCCTATACAAGTTTCCTCAAAGGTGATGGAAGCAATGTGATATCTAATTTCATGCAATTTGAATAAGCCAGATATATAGAAATATTTGCCTATATGCAGAGCTCGTGTTTCAGAATCACAAGGTGCTGGCAGTTGGGGTCTTTATAATAATGTAGAAAAATAATAATCATATTGCATAACCTAATTTGTGTAATGTTCTTTAGTCTATCAAACTTTAATGGGTATCAAATGAAAATGGAGTTATGGTATATATTCGTGTGCAAAATACATTCAGGCTGAATACTGTAATAGGATTACCACCCCTTCTGCTGTTGACTTTT